TAAAGTCGTGTCGTAGTTTTAACATCAAAGTATATTATTGAATTACATACATTGTTATTGTTTGAGGGGGACGCGACTAAAATTATGATTGAATATTGGGTCGCGAACATTGAAACTTAGAGAAGCACTGGCCTAACTGATTTCAAATCTCAAATAGGTGAAATAATCCATTTAAATTAATGCGAAATTAATACCGTACGTAAGCCGACAATTTTCGTGCATAAGTCTATAAATTTAGGAATTTTTCTTGAAGTTTAGAAAAAGGAGTTAGTCTTATTTAAAAATCCACTTTTCCTGGAAAAAACGCAGTTTAGGAAAAGCGCGTTTTTTTTCCAATCCTCCTATTACCTCACACTCTCTATATCTTTATTTATTTATTTATCTTCATGGAATTTTCAATCGTTAATAAAATACATTTTAAAGCGCTCCATTGAGCTGAAATTTTATATACATAATTATTTTGGATGACGAAACAATAATTTAATTACAAGTAATAAAAATTAATTGATTAAAACTAATTATTCAAGGAATAACAGATACAGCCACGTTGGCATCCTTTTCGGTGACTTAGCGATCCTTTTGGAGATTTGTGTCGAAACTTGAAAGGGTTTTTTTCTCACGTTTTAAAGCATTCAGTTGAACTGAAATTTTATATAGACGATTGTTTTGGATGACAATACTGTACTTTGATGATAATGAATGAAAATTAATTACCACTTAATGTTGTGATTCTGTCCTATGTATATGCATATTTACATTAATTGTAACTATTTAATAAAAAGTAGCTAAAATAAAGTTTTACTTTGTTGATCTATGTAGAAATTGACTTAATTTTCTTTTTATATTACTTGTTTAGAAAGTTTCCCTCCACTTCAGTCACATGCCTAAATTGTGGAGGTGGAGATAGATGATGGTGCCATCTATCGTAATGTTCCATCGTCCCTTCGGGAATTTCATCGAGCTAAATCGTACTATCACCTGTATGATGCTCAAGGCTAAGGCCAACGATAGGCGTACAACTAGCCCATTGCCACGATGAATTACTTGGTCCTCGATCTGACTATGTCAGACAGGTGGCATGAGCAACAGCAACAACAAACAACAACAACAAAAATATTTCTCGTTAGCCATGCACCGGCAGTTTTAATCCTTTAACTTTTTGAATATTTTGAATTGAACATTTATTCTAAAAGGAGAAAAAAAAGGCACATAAATTATTTAAAATTATGTCAGAATCTAAGTTTTCGAATAGTTTGCAAAATGTGCATTCATTCACTGAAATGTCTGAATCCACATGCTCATCATATGGCAAGTTTTTCCTTCAAGGCATTGAACATAGGTCGACGATCACTTGCCTTTCACGAATATTTCTTTACACTCATTTTCTAAGGAAACAACAACAACAAAAAAAAATGGTACAGTTTGATGTTTTGGAAAATTAATCTGTAGCATGAGAGTTTAGAAATTAAATAATTGATTTATTTACGTCCACAGAGATTAAATATAATATTTGCATAAAAAAATAGACGTCATTCGTACTATTGATTATTTCAATGCTACAGAGTATGTCCTTTGTGAAAGAGGAGGCATACATAACCGTTCTTTTTGGTGTTTCAAAGCGGACTCTTTCCACTCTGTTGAGGGAGGGGGTCAAGGTAACGGACTCGTGGCTGGCATGTTATCGGTTCGAGCCTGTACTGTTGAAGACACGCCTTGCAGAGGGGGCCGATGCGCGTTAAATCTATCGAGGCACAAGCGTCCTCACGTTGGTGTGGAATTTAGGAAAGGGGAGTGCCAGTTGAGGTGTCGTCCTCGTCACTTGACCATAATTCAAAATTCAAGGTCCATCGCAAAAAGGCCCTCGTGTAGCTGAGTAGTGTGACGTTAATATTCACTTACTCATCCTATTGTGTTAAGAGGCGGCGGTCGCCTCTTTCATCTTAAATCACGGACGGACTTTCCGCTTGTAGGTGGAGTCTTGTTTTTCTGACGGCCATCGGTTGTCGAGGAGATGTCAGGTGAAAAGACCCCGCAATAGTTTTGGGATACACTTGTGGATATGAACAGTGTAATCCAATCTTCAAAAGAAGTCGATTTTGGAGGGCTGAAATTGCGAAAACGTTACCTACAGAAAGTAAGACTAGCACAGATTGTGTACAAGATAACAAACAAGTAATGAAAAAAAAATTTAAGCCAATCCCTGCGTAGATCAACAAAGAACATTTTATTTTAGCTACTTCTTATTAAATAATTACAATTAATATAAATATGTATATACATAGGGCAGAATCACAACATTAAGTGGTAATTATAATTTTTATTCATTATCATTAAAATATCGTATTGTCATCCAAAACAATCGTGTACATAAAATTTCAGGTCAACTGAAAGCTTTAAAACGTGACAAAAAGACCTTTTCAAGTTTTGACACAAGTCGCTAACGTGGCTGTGTATTTTTAATTCTTTAAATAATTAGTTTTAATCAATTAATTTTTATTAATTACTAACGGTCCCGACAGACGTTGTCCTGTACACACGCCTTAAATCGGAAAATTACAAACTGCAAAATTTTTTGAATCAGTAGAACAGTCTGGACCGTTTTGATGAAATTTTTTATAAGGAAAGTTATTACAATACCTGACATCATCACATGTACAGTTAATACGTTGTTACAACGTTACAATAATAACGTTGTTACAACAATGCAGGTGAATATTGAGTTTAATGTTTTTAATTAATATCTTTTTAATTAATTGTGACATTGGACCGAATTGGGAATCTAAACCATTCTCGAATCCTCTTGAACCAACATAAAAAATTGCATCAAAATCGGTTTAGCCGCTTAGGAGGAGTTTAGTCACATACTCACAGAAGAAATATACATGTAAAGATTATTTGAGAAGATATTAATTAAAAATGCTAGAAAGCATGATTCGTCGGCATTTTATAACAATGAAGACCCTGTTTGGCCAATATGGCTGAAAATCGATTTTCGACGCCAACGTACGTCATTTTTATAACAATAACGTTGTTACAACAATGCAGGTGAATATTGAGTTTAATGTTTTTAACTAATATCTTTTTAATTAGTTGCGACATTGGACCGAATTGTGAATCTAAACCATTCTCGAATCCCCATGAACCCACATAAAAAATTTCATCAAAATCGGTCTAGACGTTTAGGAGGAGTTAAGTCACATACACACGCACAGAAGATTTTTATATATAAAGATAATTAAATTATTGTATTGTCATCCAAAATAATCATGTATATAAAATTTCAGCTCAATTGAGCGTTTTAAAATGTATTTTATTAACGATTGAAAATTCCGCCAAGATAAGTAAATAAATAAATAAACAAATAAAAAAACAAATAAGCAAAATAAATAAATAAATAAACAAATATATAGAGAGTGCGAGCTAATAGTAGTAGTTGAATTAATAGAAAAAATGTATTAGCTCTGAGTAGGATTACAAGAAATAAAACTATTGACTTTGGCGTCTTACTTTGGTTTTAAAATATTCCATCGGTTTTGTTCTTTTGGCAATAGTTTTGTCATTTTGGCGAGATTTTAAAATTTACAAGGATTTCACCTTAACCGAGGTTCAAAATTACGTGGTCTGTCGCCAGCAACCCTCGTTTACGAGTGCAGCGATAATCACCACTTTTTTTTACCAATTCTTTATCTAAAAGGCTAAATCTCTTTTCCTATTGCTTTAATATTAATTTTAACCCTTGCTATCTTAATACAAGTTACACAATTTTGCCCATCCGGTATAATAGTTTGTGACGCTAACTGCTGTGCCGTAGAGCTTGGGTTCGAATCCCGGAGAGGGCATGGATTTTTGCAAATGTATAGTGCCTTTGCGGCATAGAGATTACTCTAAATAGCCATCAAACCCAAAGTCCTCTCGTGAAGTTGGTGGTAGAGGAAGAGAAATGGGAGGCCCTTGACTACCCTAAGGGTATTCTTCCTCAAAATTGGGTGGAACCGAGCCAAATCGTGCTGTCACTTGCACGGTTCTCAAAGCTACAGCTAACGACAGGCGTACAACTAGCCCCTGGCCATGATGAATTTCGTGGGCTTGATCTGATGTTACTGTAAATCAGGTGGCATAAGTAACAACAACGAAAGTTTGTATGCATGTTTGAATGAAAGGAATATTTAATTTTTTTAAAAATAGTTGAATTCAAAATTTTATATCTTTTTTTTGACGAATTTTTAATAAATTTTCACAAAAAAATATATAATTTTATGAATTTCAATCTTTTTTATCACAAAACCCATATTAATTTTCGTTGCACATTATTTGACATGTAAATTTTTATATGTGTGTGCCAAATTTTGTAGTTGTTGGCTCATGAACTGATGCTAATCCAACTTATTTAATTATTTTTTATTTGTCAAGCGTTTCTATTTATGTAAAATATACGGCAACAGATTTTTTTGTTTTGATTATTCGCGATATGTTCTTATTGATATATGCATAAATCGAATCAAAGGAATAAAGTTAGGTTTATTAAAACTGTGTTCTTAATAAATTTTTAATGTTAAAATTCTTATTTTGTCGAAATTCTATTTTTAGGGATCTATTCATCAGGGCTATTCTCTCATTTCTTTTTTTTAAATACATCAGATTATTTTTTTTATCTTGATTTAAAAGGTACAGTGCACTAATTCTATTTTAATTAGAATCTGTATCTACAGTAGTAAAAGAAGCGTTTTTTTTCCAATTCCTACTATTAGTTCACTCTCTTCCTAAATTTATATATATACATATATTTATATATATATCATGTTCAAATTTTCAATCGTTAATAAAATACTTTCTATTATCCATTAAAATCAAATACATTTTTTTAAACTTGTAGTGGATAACACTTGATGTAATTTATTTTTTCAAATATTAATTCATTAATTAAATTAAAACATGAATAAATAGTAACAAGCAGAAATAATAGTCCAACAACATATATAGAAAGGAAAATTGTTCGTTGTGCCCCTGTGGCACAATGGCTAGTGCGTTGGACTTCTAATCCAAAAGTCGTGAGCTCGAATCCCAACTGGGATGGCCTAATTTCTGCGAATGTGCTTTTTTTACTATACTATTTATAATATAATCAAATTTAATGAATGAATAAATAATAACAAGCAAAAGAAATAGTCCAACACCCTGAAAGGAAAATGGAAAATCGCTTTCTATTTTGTCACTTAACATTGTGATTCTGTAATCTGTATATACATATTTATATTAACTGTCACTATTTAATAAACAGTTACTAAAATAAAATTTTTCTTTGTTGACCTAATTAGGAATTGACAAGAATTTCTTTTATATTGCTTGTTTTACCTTGATTTAAAAACGTACAGTTCGCTAATTCTATTTAAATTAGAATCTGTATCGACAGTGGTAGAAGTATCGTTTTTTAAAAAAATTTTTTAAAGAAAAGCAATAAATGTGTTACTTTTTTATCTCATTTTGAGAGAGAATCCTACTTTACGTAATTTATGTACATAGGTTTGTAAATTTGTAATTCTATTACATCAAAGATTTTTCGTTAAATCCTTTTTCGTCTACAATTGACTTATTTTCAACTGCACAAAATTCTTATCGCATACACGACTTTTTTATAACTTTGACGCGAGCTGAAAGATACATTTTATGTTCGATTTTTCTCGATTGCGAATTTTTTGGGGAAAAAACCCTGGGATTTATTCCCCAAACGTCTGTGGGAAAGAAGTTTTCGAAACTCCAAATAAGGTGAAATTTCCTTTCAACAGTTTTACTCGGAATCGGTGGAGTTAAAGGTATTCTTGGGAAAGTAGCACACTTTTATTGGATTTTCGGAAGAAAAGCCGCGAGAAAAACTTCCCGCGAGAACTTTGGGAAGGAGTTCAGAGGTATTCATTGAATGGTTATTCTCCAAATATTTTATTCTGAATTTGTGTTTTTAGGATATTCGGTGCTCAAATGTTTAGCTTAGAATTGCAGAAGTACAAAAATAAGTTACTAAATAAATCACGAGGATATATTTTCTTCTTTTTCTTAGTTTTTATGTTTAAATACTTGATTTTGGATGAAAAAAAGAAGCAATATATTTATAATTTTTGAAAGACTTATTCCATTAGCATTGATTTCATGGAGCTAAAGTTATGCATTTCTTAAGCACTCGGGAAGTATTTTAAGCTTGTAATTATTTTGAGAAACTTAAAATGTTATTCACTTAAAAATAGTTAATTTAGAGTAGCGATACTCAGCCGGCGGCCCACCGGGCCTTTTTAAGTGGCCCAATCATGACCTATTGCTTTGAGAAACTCATTTATTTATGGAAATTTGGGGGGAAATTCTTTGTCAAAAAATCAAATATATCAATTTTGCATTTTGCTGTCGATGTCGTATGGGTGCTAATTTGTATTCTCCCCCTCTGATTAGGGATAACAGACAACAGTGGAGTTGCGACCATTTTATGAGTGGAACTAATTTTTAACTATCTTTTGTATCTTGCAATCGACAAATATTCGAAGAAAATAGATTGTTTCAAGACGATTGGGGGAAGTTGACTGTTTTGTAGTGAGAAACAAGCATGGTTCAGTAATTGTTTGTCACGAAAGGGTTGTATTTAAAAAATACCAATATAAACAGGAATCACATACATTCAATGATGCTTTTCCTCGAAGATCGCTGTCAAGAGATGATAAATAGGCTTTCTTGAAAAATCTTTACAACAGTAAAAAAGTGTTTTGTCAGTGCTAAGGTATCCGACTACGTTCGGAACCGCGATTTTAAAAAGGCGCATAAATGGATAATTTTCATGATATTTAGTGTCACTTAGATAAGAATACATGTATAAAATGATTTTACGGACATATTGGCAAAAAAATATTTAAATACAATATTTCGGCAAAAAATTAACCTAGAATAACCTTTTTCCAAAATGTTCTCCTTTTGTAAAAAATGCTTCTATTATAATAATATTCTGCCTGTATATAGCTCAGACCTCTGCACAGAGGCTCAACTATGGTTTCTGAAAAATTCAGATTATTTTCAGAGTTACAACCATTTGAAATAATTATCGCAGTTTTTTTTTCTTCTTAAAATTTCTCCCCTCTGTTGTTGTAAAACATGGATAAACCCACTTCTAAGTTATATATTTCAAAAATTCTAGTTGAGCCTCTGTACAGAGGTCGGAGCTATATACAGGCACAATATCATTCTAATAGAAGCATTTTTGCAAAAGGAGAACATTTTGAAAATTGGTGATTTTATGTTCCTTTTTTTGTCAAAATATTGTACTCAAATAAGTTTTTCTTGTAATAATATTCTTAAAACAAATTTATATACATTTTCTAATCTAAGTAACACAAAATATCATAAATATTATGCATTTATACGCTTTTGCAAAATCACGTTTCCAAACGTAGTCGAGTACCGTAATGTCACAGCGGTAACAAAAGCACCCAAGGAAATTTGTTATATTATTGGTAATCATATGAAACCCGTTCACTGAGAGATGCAGAAATTGTTAAAAAGTGATTCTAAAATGCTTCCGATTCAGAAAAATTTAGTGACAAAAATAAAAAATTAATAATTATAAAAAAGCGCAAAATAGGAGCTTTAACATTTTGATCAATTTCCTCATTTTAAATTTTCTATGTTACCTTGGTCTTAAAGCATTCCCCCCCTTCCTCCCTTAATTCTCATGTTGCGGCCCGTGTGAAATAAACATATGTATGCGGCCCGTGTGAAATAGCTAACATGTGTATGTGGCCAGCCAGAAAAAAAGGTTGAGTACCCCCGATCTAGAGGGAGTGTTTTCATGTTATTTTCCTCTAAATGTCTCATTGGTTCCTAAACTTATTGTGCCCATGTATACCTTTTCACACCAAAAATTGGGCCATTAGCCCCCAATAACTCTATTCAATAACTCTATTTGAATATATGAAATAACTCTTATTTCAATGTAAAAAGGTTTTTTTTCCAGGTATAGAAGTTTAAGTAGGCATTACTTTCCAAGATGGTGACCGATTTAACAGCTGTCAAGTGATTTATTCTCAGTTTGGTTTGGCAATTCATCAAAACGATCATCAAGCAAGGCGTAGATTCGTCGGATGGGCCCAAAACGAGATTGCCGTTGTTCCCGATTTTCATAAGCGAATTTTGTTTAGCGATGAAGCGCACTTCTGGTTGAATGGCTACGTCAACAAACAAAACTGCCGCATTTGGAGTGAAGCTAATCCACAAGTGTATGTCGAAACACCGTTACATCCAGAAAAACGTGACTGTTTGGTGCGCTTTATGGGCTGGTGGAATCATTGGTCCGTACTTCTTCAAAAACGATGAAGGCCACAACGTTACAGTCAATGGTGATCGGTATAGAGCCATGATTACTAACTTTTTCATTCCTGAATTGAACAATCATGATGTCCAGGAGCTGTGGTTCCAACAAGACGGCGCAACATGTCACACAGCTCGTGCCACAATCGATTTATTGAAAGACACGTTTGGTGACCGCCTAATTTCACGTTTTGGACCTGTGAATTGGCCTCCAAGATCTTGTGATTTAACACCGCTAGACTATTTTATGTGAGGCTATGTAAAGTCATTGGTTTATGCGGATAAGCCACAAACGCTTGACCATTTGGAAGACAACTTTCGCCGTGTTATTGCCGATATACGGTCACAAATTTTGGAAAAAGTCATCGAAAATTGGACGTCCAGATTGGACTACATCCGAGCCAGCCGTGGCAGTCCTATGCCAGAAATTATATTTACAATGTAATGCCCCAAGATTATCTTTCGAATAAAAAAAATTCATGTCAATCGAATAATACATCGTTGTTTTATTGCAATTTAAAGTTCTAGACCTCTAAAAAAACACCCTTTATAGAAGAATTACAAATTTAAATTTGATGTTCTGAAAATAATATTGATAAATATTAATCAGGGGGATTCACTGCCAGACCGACAAACTTGCAGGGTGTATAGAACTTTTCTCAGGGTCTGTGGGGGGTTTCGTTTTTTCTTTTAACGAGTAATAATTTATGTTAAAACGTAATAAAAAAATCTCTCATTGAGGAAATACAGCAAATAAAACAAAATGTTTTTTTTCTTTAATTTGGTTTTGGGATCAAAGATAGCTATTTGATGACGGAAAAAAAGCCAGATAATAAACATAAATTATGTCAGTGTTGTTGTGTGTATTTTTTTTATTATGGAAGAAAGCATTTTGTTTTAGTTCTCTTTCCGGTTATTTTTTTTAAAAAAAATCTTTAAATTTTCGATACGCTCGCGCCCCCCAGGGGGGCGCGCCCCACACTTTGAGAAACACTGTCTTATGGTGAATGTGTGTGTGTGAATCGCTAAATTTTAATTTTTCTTGTTAAACTTTAATTCTTTAATTTCATTCAATGCTGCTCCCACTAAGGGAACCCTACGATGCTGTAACTAGGTACATGGGTCGCTTGCGGCCCTCGATCCCATATCTGATAGATAGATGTGGAGCGATAGTGAAATTTTTTCACGCAAGGAGGACGCTTCTGATTAGCTGAGCCCATCGTTCGTAAAAGTTCTAAATTTCTTGAATTGTTCTGGTGCATAGGATCGTAGCGTGCGAGGAAAATGACTCAGTGGCTGCTCAAATCTCTAGCAAAGGAATTTAAGAAGAGGGGGCGGGGCAAGTCCAGTAGGGAGAAATACGAAAAATATATAAATTAAAAAAGCAAAGTGAATGTGCAATAATAATAAATTGTGTGTGTGTACTGATATAAGTTTAAATTAAGTTGGAATGCATGAATCGAGAAGAAGCCTTCTTGGTGTTTTAGTAGAAATATTAGGATTATAATTATGAAGATTTAACATATTAACATTATTTGTATGAGGTAATGAATCAAAGAAGACTAAGTGAACTCACTCAAGATAACCGTTTTATATTTCTCCCTAAATTTAATCTAACTTCAGGGCAGCCAATAGAGAGCCATTTGATTTATTCCTTCTGACCAATCCCAATTAACCCAATTAACCCACTAAAATGAGTGCGCCACCGAAGATCCGTCTGTTTCCTCTGAAATCTC